GACTTTAAAATATTATTTATTGCTGTAATAATTCCTTCTGCTCTTTTTAGAAATGCTTTTTGCAGTGGTGCAGCTTTACAAAATAAGTCACCCCAGCCTCTTGTCTTGGTAGGACGGTGTACTGTGTCCACCCAGTTTATGGGGACTCCCTGGAAACATCTTCAAAATGCTTTATTGTGGCTGCTTTGCATAAGTAATAATGCACTTGCATCATTAGCTAGCTACTGGTGTTTTAATTACGCTCATCTGTTCTTGTAACGCTCACGGGCATTTTTCTTTTGTTCCTTGAATTCATCCTGAAGACAGCCCTTCTCCTGCGGGTGGCAAACTATAAGGAGCTGCTTGCCTTTAACGGCGAAAGTCGGGGAACAAAAATCTCCTGTGAGCTGTAAAAGCCACAGACTACATGACAGATTGTAACATAATTGGCTGCAGGCATGGCTCTCCAAGATGGGCTGTGATAAGTATCTTGTGTTCCAAAATTCACTTTTAGTGTTTCCATAGACTTGCTGAGCTTCAGGAGACGGACACAAAAATGAGATTTCGCACTGAGGAGAAGCAACTTTGCAGGATATGAACCTGACTGGTGTAGCCGAGTCTGAGCTGCATCGTGCACTTCACGGCACTTCTGAGCAGGAGAAATGATCAAAGTGTTTTGGATGATGTTAGCAGTGTGTGAGAAAGAACAGAAAAAATGCATCCTTTAACATCAGGGTAGCAAATGTGTAATTTCATATCAGTTTTCTGTGTTAGTTGATTTAAAACTAAATTCAAGTTAAGCTAGCTTAATGAAATTGTCTGGATGCACTTTTTTTTCACCGTGGGGTCAGAATTCCTCTAAAGCAACCCACTTTTTTTGATTTTCCCACTTGTGTTTATCATTTTGATATTTACATACATAGCAGTTGCAATGTCATTGAAAAAGTGTGGAAACTACTTTGCAAAACTTAATTTTTATGAGTATAATCAACTTAAAACCTTGTGTTTGTGCTACCAATCATATGTAGTTTGTTGGATGAACATAATTTCATTCAAAGTTGCCTCTTAAAGATTGATGCAAACTGTTGCGTTGCTGTTTTTTTTTGGGCTCAAACATTATTTTTTAGTGTAAAGCCTCAATATGTCATATCTGTCCCTCTAAATCAAACCAGACCAATACACAGAGGTTTTGCTTGGTGTTGAGACAAGAGGCAACAAGTGGGCATCCAATAACCGAGCCTCAACAGGTCAACTAAAACACTCTCTGAATCCCAGAGCTCCCAATAACTGCAACAGAGCCTCTATTTACTAACCAAAGCCAACACCAGTCCTTCTCCTGTCTGGAAGCCAGCTTCAGGCGACGGCCCTAGCAGACAGCTGAGGGAGTCTGGGGAGCTGCGAGACTCGCTGCCTCCTCTCTGGACCTCAGGTGACACCACGAGTCAACGAGCGACTATTTAAACGTCGAGGCTGTTCTGAGATCAGCGTTAACAAGCACCAAAGATCCACTGAGCGAGTCAGAGAAGGTGTCATGGAGAACAGAGAGCACTCCCTGCTCCCATCTGTTTTATTCTTCTTCCCCTTCAGCCATTCACTCTCTCGCTTTGCTTTTTTTTTTTTTCCCACTGTAATTACACCTGCTCTGCCAAGCGTAGCTCGAGGCGTGGCTGGGCAAAATCACTTGTTAATATGAATGTGCAGAGTGTGTGAGGAGGAGGCCTGCTCACTGATGGTCTCTGTGGAAACATTAGGTTGTAAGCAGCCTGCACCTGTATGTCCCTCCTGGGAGCGAGAGGTAAGGAAGCTTCACTTGGGGGAATAATGAGTGTGTGTGAGTGAAGTGAGACCATCTTCAAAATGAACCTGCAACAATTACAAAGCCAAAGTGAGGAAACAAGAGCTCGTAGCTGGGACATTTTTCTAGCTTTGGGCTGTTTAAGCAGGTGAAATAACCCTGGAAATACATATGAGAACAGAAGGTGAAGTTGTCTTGAAACCAGTGAGAATGCTAAAAATGTGTGGCATTTTACAGACAACAGCACTCCGCTTCTTATCTCAAGACTGGCAGTGTTGTTTTTGAACAAATGTCTCCCAGATACAAAGATTTTTCCAGGCGTGAAGTGTGGAGAAAAAAAAAAAAAAACAACTACTAAAGGTGTGACGACGCATCCTCGGCTGAGCAGCTGCTGCGTTTGTCAGGAGACATCCAGAGCATTAACACCAGCCGGAGCACCAGACCAGACAGATAGTGTTACACATGGCTTCCCCTTCTGATGTCAAACGAGCCTAATCAGACACATCCAGAGACAGTTGCAATTATGGCAGCAGCTGATGACAAAAAATATCACTGAAACACACAGATACGCCACAAAGCCTGACCGCGCTTCGCTGGTGGATGTGAGCCTGGCAAACTGCGAGGGGGAAAATCTGTGCACGAGCCACGCCGCTGTACTGCAAATTACACACAGCTGCAGGCTACGAGAGGCCAGTTGTTAGAGATGTTCTGTTTGCGAAGGAGAGATGGAAGAAGAGGGAAATTATTATCTCTAGGTGTTGTTCAAAAGGCCAAGGAAGTTCACAGTCATTCCTGCACGCAGACACAACAGACATCATTAATTTAGACTGCTAGACAGCAACATGAATGGTGCACCCTTCAAAGGAAAACCACGCATTAATTATTAATCCTTACTACACTGGACGACATGGAAAAACAGCAATTGACAGCTGGGTATACATTCCAATGGGAGGTACTTTTTTTTTTTCTCTCCACTAAGAATGCTAGTTCCACTAAAACAGGGTTACATGAAAGGCAAAGCCGCTTGAGCTCATTTCCATAATACCTCTGTGTGCCCCCATGAGAATCTCGGGTTCAGTTTGCTTTCATTTGCATGTGCCACGCAACAGCACACACTGTTTTTTGTTTTTTTTTTTCTTCCAGGATTTTTGCAGCTGGAGCAGATTGAAATGTTTACAGTGTATGCTGGAGTCTATCAGTAGGGCCTGTTAGATGGGAAACATGCCCACTGGCTGCAGCAGAGCCAAGGATTTCGATCAGATTCACAACAGGAAGCAAATTGGACGGGAGATAACAGCTGGCTGCTCTCATCACCTATAGACCCACTGATAGAAGCTCGTTTAAACTCTGAAAGCATCTATTCAGTCAGAGAATTTGACTTCAGTGACATTACATGTTAAGTCCACCAGGGGTTTCCGTCTCAAACTTTTTATTTTTATCATAACATTATGTTTTCTTTTAAAAGCCTTACAGATATGTGGAGCTATCTTGAATATTACAGCTACTGGGACCATACTTATCAGATTGCAGGCACTATTTACAGAAGCAGGGGTCACAATGGGAATTTACACCAAAACTATAGTTTAGTTTCATAAAGGTGCTTAGAAACTTTTTGGGTACCACATACAAGCTTCTAGCAGGTTTGGTTATTTGTGTCACATGCAGCCACACACAAAAACAAACAAAAAAAACCCCAAAAAACAAAAAAACAAAAAACCCAAACAATAATAAAACCCACATTAAAACTAACTTTTGTGCAAATCTGTGGTTTATCTGGCAGAAACTGGTGGCTCCAGAAAGAAAATGTCACATTTTGCATATTTTCAAAATCAAATGTGGGACACAAAGTACAAAAATGACACTTAATTTCCCATTAAACAACACAATGTGGTGTATAAATAAATAAAAATAAAGCTGTTATTGTTCTTTTTAAAAAATGAATTACTGAAATCCTTCACAAAATGTTTTCATGGCTGATGATTAAAGGCTGTTTTCCACCTAAGCGCACTCTAATAGACACCTTTCACTGCAAAACGAACCTTTTTAAAAGCATTAAAGTTGTTATGTAAGAAAACATGGAGGCAAAACATGTTATGAGGTTTCTTTTACTAGCCTGGATCTGCTTGTGTCTTCTTCTGGTGGTTCCTTCACAATGTGTGTTCAGATTCTCCCGCCTGCTTTTCTATAGGAACCAGTGAAACAAGAGAATTCCCCAGAAATCACAGGGGACATGAGGAAATGTGTAAACTGTTGCCGATTGAGCAGCTGATGTAATTCAGGATTGTGCACTGCAAGCATCTTCATCACTGGAAAATCTGCATTTCTTACTCAAAAATATCTGCTGACTGTACAAAACACATTCACATGACACATATTCTCTACATTAAACATGAATCAGTGAACTAAGAAACACATGGATGAGTTGAAGCCCATCCACACACCTTACAGTCAATGATTTGCACTAAAGGTCTTAGGTAGTGCATATCAAACCTTAAAAATATATGTTGACGAATTAAGCATTGATACACTTTTAGTTATGACATTCATTTACACACCTGGTTGTGTTCTTTGTGGGAATATTTCTTTAGAATTTTTTGTGTTTTGTCCAAATTTGATTTTTTATTTTTTTCTAAAATATGCAAAATTTGACATTTCCATTGTGGAGGCCAGTTTCTGCCACATTACACCAGCCATGGTGTTGAGACTGCACAGATCCCTGTAACAGGATTGTTTCACAGCAGGAAGATGAACATTACTCTTATATTTTATACTTACTGAACAATGCATGTTCAATCACAATTCGTTTTTTTCTATTTCTATAGTTTGACAAACACCCCTAAATAATTCCCCCATGGCTCTAACATTTGGCTTTTCTTGATAATATTGAATCAGGTGCCATCAGAAAAAGGAACAAAATCATAAAATAAACTGTGATGTTTACGAAACAAGTTGCATTGCCATGGAGTCGCTCTTCACTTTTCGCTGCAGCAACTGGCTTGTTAATGAAAATAGCACTTCAACTGTTACCGTGGAGATACTATAAGTGTCTGCAACATGGAAAAAAAAAAGTGCAGGCGTTTCACACATTGCTGAACTCTTCGACAGCTGAACTCAGATTTAGTGTTTGTCATATGGTTTGCGCTGGCTGCGGCCCTGAACTCCTCCGTCGAAGCCTTTCGGATCACATTCTTCAGTCTTAAGATTAAAGGCCCTCAATTGAGACACATACCAGCAATCCAGAGGCATTTTATTGTGCTGAATATCTTTACAGAAAAAAAGAGCAATCACATCCACCTACTAAATCCAAAAACTATGCAATGTGCACTATAATCATTCAAAAAAGGCATATTTGATATATCACATATTCACGTATTTTTTTAAAAAACAAACTCAAGCAGTATAACATTTCTCTGCAGCAGAGGCATAATGAGGAGAATGCAATGATCGACTGTATGTTTTTGCCAAGTATTCTTTCATTTAAAAGTCAATGCACTCCATCCGGTTATCCTTTAGAAAGAGTAAAAATAGAACATATCACTCTTTGCAACTCTCCAAAAACCCCTTTTGCCATGACTCATTGTCCATGCAATGTTACACGGAGAAAACGCAGTTGACATCACAGCTGCCAGGTACTTGTACAGGACATGCAGCAGTGGTTGAGTGGGAAGTCGTGAGAGGGTTTAATTAGGAGCTCTGACAGGTGTAAAATCTGAATAGTACCATGGAGAGGGGTGGTGGTGGTAGGGGGAGGAAGGAGAAGGAGACTTTCATGCAAATCTTAATAGTATAAAGTCATTTAATATCTCACTGCAAGGTCCCAGACAGTGTCCCGTCCTCCCTCACACGTCCGAATTGATGCTCAGGTTGGCCAGACGCGGGTCAGAGTTTATCTCATATCTGTAATGGTACCCCTCCATGTGGTCCCGACAAGCGTCCCGGATGTTGTACATCCACCGCTTGATGCCTTTTCTGTTCAGGTAGAGCACCAGCAGGAATATGACACCGATCAAGGCCAACACCAGTCCCAGGAACACATAAGAGGTCTCCAGCACGCCCTCCATATCGGTGGAACACTTCAGCTGCGACTGCTGCAACTGTAGGAGCGGGTGGAGTCTCAGGGCCTCCGGGTCGGCGCAGGTCAAGTTCTGGATGTCGACCACCTGAGTGGAGTTTTTAAGCCACATCAGCACGTCTTCAATGTAGCAGTCGCAGCGCCACGGGTTCCCCGCCAGCCGGATGTGGAGGTCAGGCTTGAGACCGAACTCGGCCAGTGTGGCAGGGGGCAGGTCCCTCAGGCTGTTGTCCCTCAGGTCCAGGTCACGCAGCGGGGGCACCTTTAGAGTCCCGTTGCTGATGGTGACGATGGAGCTGTTCTGCAGGTTGAGGTTGGTCAGGCTGGACAGGTTGCCGAATATGTCCGGAAGAGCCACAAGGTCATTGCTGGACAGGTCCAGGGCTGCCAGCTGGAGGAGGCTCCCGCTGCGCAGGAAGTTTAGGTCCACCTCCATGAAGGAAAGATTGTGAAAAGACCTGCTGAGGTTCAGGAGCTGCAGTTTTGTGTCATTGGGGAAAGCTCTTTGACTGAAATTCAGGATTCTGTTGTTGCTCAAGTCCAGCCGCAAGAGGTTTGGCAAGTTGTCAAATACCATCGCTTCCACGTACTCCATCCCATTCCCACTGAGATAGAGATCAGTTAACTGTTCCAGGCGGGTTGGGAAAGAGGCCACGCTGATGTTGGAAATGTTGTTTCCTGTGACGAACAAGAATTTGGTATTGGCCGGTAAGGAATGCGGAATCGCGTCCAAGTCCTGGTTTTGGCATTTCACAGTTTGTGAGGAGCACAAGCATCGGTCCGGACAGCCGTGACAGGACAGCACGACGGCCAAGAGCAAGAAAAGTAAACGCATCACACCGGACTTGTGCAGTCTGCCTCGGATCTCTCCACGATCACAACCGCACGACGAGTTCAACAGGCACATCTTGGACTCGAAACAAATCTGCGGCGGATCAGACGATCAGCTTCCCAACAAATCCCACCCAGTCGCCGCCTTTTTTTTCTTCTTTTTCTTTTTCTTCCGCGGGGAACAAAGGCAAAGTTTCTTAACAGAGCTTCTCACCTTTATCCTTTCGAAAACTCCTCCCAACTTCACACAGCTACCCCCACACCATCCTGCTCCAGGATGAGTCTACATTTCCATGAAGCTCACAAACTTCTGCGCTCCTCCTCGTTTGTTATCAGGCTTTTCAGGAAAGAAAAGCTTCTTTTTTTTTCTCCTCCTCCTTTCTAATTTCTCCAGTCCGACACAGAACGTAAACCGGTGTTGACTGTGGCTGCTGGTTAAGGCTCCTTTTCTCCCAGAGGTGCCATACATCAGGCTACAGTCGTACTTCCAGCTTGCCGCTCTCAGATCTTTGGGAGTCAGACGGGAAAGAGCAATCGGAGGCAGCGGCGCGGCGCACAGCATAGCAAGGAGGGAGCGTACCATTATCCAGCGAGAGGGGGGTGGACACAAAACTCACACAGGTTTCCTTTAGGCTTCTGTTGAAATTTAACACGCTACGTAAATCTCTGTCTTCATTTTTCCTTTTCTTTTCTTGTAATCCACCTTAACCCGAGGATAAAACATCGAGTATTGGAAAAATTGCAACAAGTTTTCCTGAAATGCTCTGTAACTTAGTCGTGGCGCACTATAAAGGGGGGTTCAGGTTAAACCATAGGACACTGAAGCCTCACTGGTGGAGTTTTCATAACCAATATTGTGTTTAATTACTAAACCTCAGAGCTTGTGATTGCAAAAAAAAAGAAGTTTTAATTGTAAACATCTTGTTTGAACAACAAAAATGATTGCATTTTATTGATTGTTAAAAAGCAATTAAAATTTTACTCTTGGCCCATCCTAATAGCTTCTGTTAATACCTTGAAATTAGGGATACAGGATAGTTTTCATGTTCTCACAGTGCTTACTTACACTTATTTTTCGGTGTGAACAGAAATTGAATATTGACATCGGTAATATCGGTTATATCAGAAATCTTAATATCGGATATCGGATATCGATATCGGCCAGAAATTTTTATATTGTGTATCATTACTTGAAATACTAAAATATTCGATTTAGTCAGATTTTCGGAAAAAGCAAATGCAACAAACTGTGCCAGTTAACTTGGCAGTGTAAAACTAAAGTACAACTGCATAGAAAAGGACTCACAGCAACAAATCAGTGAATCTAAATTCTAAAAGTATCAATGATCGATGATTTACTTTGAAAAAAATAAGCTTAGTAAATGCATAACTATGTACAGATATGCAGCAAATGACTATCACATTGCATGCGGAAAAGAAGGGGTGGGAAATGAAATAAAAATACAACATTAAAGGAAGAAGAGACAGGAGGAAAAAAATAATATATTCATGGATGAAAGACAGTAAAAGTAAATGGAAACTAATTTAGATTTTGCACCTCCAATATTTTAATTAAACAGACAAACTGACCCATATTTTTGCATTGAATCTCCCACTTTACCAACAAATGTGTCCCAGTCAACCATAAAGTTATACATCCACAAAAGATGGGGAAAGGGAGAAAAAAAAGGATTTTACATTCATATACCTAATTTTAAAGTAATTTCTACAGTTTGATTTCACTGTAAATGCATTAATGAAGGGCTATTTATATAAAGAAAAAAAAAAACTGTTATGGTCTAGAGAGAGATTTGCTGTCCCACTTTGCATTGTGTCACCCAACTGAATGATAGCCAAAAATTCCAAAATGGCATTTATTGCAATACAATACGTTCCCACAATGTTATTTAGCATCGAAATGGGTTTGTTTTTTGGGGGGGTTCCTGTGGGTAAACCAGCTTGATCTATAGGCTTTTCAAAAGATGTGACATTCAGTTCAGTTCAGCAAAAACTGCATTTGACATGTCATGGTACCCGTGGAAAATATTCAGAGCATAGAGGAACAGAGAAGCAAAAAGAAAAATGTTAAAGGGAACACATTAATCATTGACTTCGCTGATAGTGTCTGAACTTATATTTACTGCTATTTATTTAGAAAGGCCACAATCCCTTTAAATTCTATACCATTAATACCAATAAAAACAGACAGAAAACACTGTCAAGATTTATTGCATTCCAACAAAATACAAACATTGACAATAAACCCAAATTATGGTAAAATAAAATAATTATAAAAAAAACATTATTTGTGATCATTTGGATAAAGTACAGACTGAAAAAAAGAATTCAGAAAAAAGTTTAAACACACTTCTAAACAATTCAAAAGCTCAGCATCTTTTCATGCAGATGCAGAAGTGTTATTTTTTTCTCTTATTGTTATTATAATTTTTTTTTTTACATATTTTGACTGGAAAAAATAAATAAATATTTGTATATGCAATTTTTTAAATGTGTGGCTGAATGTTATTGATTTTGAGATGACTTTTCAGGTGTCATTTTAGAACATTAACAATTTAACAATATGTCTTTAAATCAAATGTGACAATAAAAAGGTCTGCAATGGCTCTCTGTAATTGTTAATAAGAGAATTTGCGACAACAGAAATGTTTATTTTTTCCACCTACCCTTTTGAGAGGTGGCAGACTGGTGACCTTGTTGTGGAAACATTGTCTGCTGGATTATGCAGGATTATATCGCTGAGAAGAAAAACCGTGGATGTGTTCATGCTTGAACGGTGAGGGAGGGCATGCTCATCAATATGTCATATTTGGAAGCCCCCAATGTGGATCCCTCTGTAACCCTAGCTTTACCCTCCTTTGACCCTCTCCTATTCTTAGCCCTGGGTCAATGTGACAATCATCTGAGTAATTCCATGAAACCTGGATTGTGACTGAAACTGATACTGCACCTAGAGTCTATCGGCTGAGTATAAAACTATTGTAACTGACATGATGTTTCTCTTTATGGGTTTTCCCCTCACCAGTGCCAGCATCTCTTCTCCTGAACTATTTAAAGAGTCAGTCACCCAAATTACTATGGAATAAAATGATTACTAAAAGTTAAAATGAGTATGAATAACCTACAAAATACACTGATCACACAGCTGGTAGCTAAGAGTGGTCATCCTGGTGTAGCGCAGTGGTTCTCAAACATTTGTGTCACACAAGGCGCACCGTTTGTGAAAAGTAGAAGTTTCAATTCAATTCAGTTCAATTTTATTTGTATAATGCAGT